TTTTTTCCTTTTTTCGTTTTTCGGATTTCCCTTCCTTTTCTTGGTCTTGTGGTTGTTGGTCTCAGGCTCTCAGTAGAGTGCTACCTAGCTCAAAGTTCATGGAGTCCGATATTATTCAAAAGCTAGAAGCTGTGCAATTAGCTGAAGACGAGGCAAACATTATCGGCCTCGACTCATCTGACATTCAGACTAGTGCAGAGGATTGTGCCCGAAGCTTAGTGGGGAAAATTATTGGGCAAAGAAAAGCAGGTCTAATTGGGCTACGTCGGGCAGTGTCACAAATGTGGCAAATCAGAGCTCCAGCCATTGTCAAAGAGCTGAGTGAAAATTTCTTTCAATTCATATTTGCAAGCACAGAGGATAAAGATAAGGTTAACAAAGGAATATGCTGGATATTCGAAAATCAATTCCTAGTGCTAAAGGATTGGAAGGAAGACACACACCCAGACCACCAGGACTTTCAATATCTGGATATGTGGGTGCAGGCTTGGAATATACCTCTGAATTGGATGTCGTCTGAAGTGGGAATTAAGCTAGGCAAAGTCTTCTCAAGAACAAGAGATGTTCAAGTGCCGCAAGGAGGATTTCTAGCCGGGAAATGTCTGAGATTATTGGTATCAGTTGATGTCCAGAAGCCTCTACCTAGATGTGCTCATATCCAACTGGGATAAAAAAAACGCTGGTGGGATTCAAATATGAGAAGTTGGTGAGTATCTGCTATTATTGCGGGATATTGGGACACATCGACAAAAACTGCAGCAAAAGAGCTGAAGACATAGAGCAGAATATTTTAAAAGAAGGGATGTATGGGGAATGGCTAAGAGCAATGGAAATCGGCTATCCTTGGACGTCATCTCAGTACATCAACAATGGGGAAGTTCCCTCCCTCAGCCAAACAAGCAACAAACAATCTTCGGAAAATCAGCGAGAACCAGTCAACTCACCCAAAGCCCATTCCATATCCTCTTCTCAAACCTCTCAACCCCCCTCAAGCCAGAAAAATCCCAGTGAGCCTCCTTTAAACCAGAGAACCATTGAAATTCCCACTCTCTCTCATTCTCATATAAACCAAAGAACCAGTGAAAAGTCTACTCCCGCTAAACCTCTTATACCCTCAAATACTAGCACCATTCCTGACCCTAACCAAATGGATCTGCTCATTAACAAAGCCTCAACTCCTGTTGCATTCATGGATACAGACTCAGATCCAGTCCATGACAATCTATTATCCATTAGCCATTCTGATAAACCAGTAACAGCACCTGCTGATAATCCTAGGGAGAGTAATCCCAATGCTAAAGGGAAGACATTGAAGAGGAAGTCAACAACTTCTAAATCTCCCCTCACTCCTCTCATTTCTAGCAGCACCAGTAACAAAAGGAACAACCTCTGTCTGACAATCACAGAGGACACTTGTCATAATGATGCTACTGCTCATCCTGAATCCAATAATAAGAGGCAGAAAAAAGATCAATCTGAGGTGAAGGTGGCCAGCCTATCAGGGCCACACAGTGATCAATGAAGGTAGCGGTGTGGAACTGTAGAGGTGTGGGTGGCCCCTCTACAGTTTCCCAAATCAAGTGATCAATGAAGGTAGCGGTGTGGAACTGTAGAGGTGTGGGTGGCCCCTCTACAGTTTCCCAAATCAAGGAGATTTGGAGGCTCCATCACCCAAGTTTTCTTTTTCTTAGTGAAACAAAAAAAAAAAAAGAATAATTTTATCAAGAATGTTTGTAGAAATCTAGCTATTGGTGATTGTTGGTCATCAATGGAACCAATAGGTAAGAGTGGGGGTCTTTTGCTCTGCTGGAATTCAGATATCCAAATCTTTAGAATCATCAAGCATAATTTCTGTATTGAGGTGGAATTTTGGGATGAAACTAAAGCATGTATCTGCTGGGGTATTGTCATCTATGCAAGCACCAATATACAGCTCAGGCAAAATCAATGGGCCCAGCTGGTTGAAGAAAGAAGCAAATGGGGGAATTCTGGTTCCTAGGAGGGGATCTTAATGACATTAAATGCCCAGAAGAGAAAAAGGGAGGAAGACTCAGAACTCATAACTCATGTCAACCTCTCAGGGACTTCATCTGCAACATGGGCATGTCTGAAATTCAAATGGTGGGTCACCCCTTCACATGGGGGAATAACAGGGAGGCAGAAGGCTTTGAGGAAAAATTAGACAGACTCTTTGGCTCACTAGCTTGGTCAGATTCTTACAAGAATGCCTCAGTTCACAATATTTTCAAAAGCTCATCGGACCACAGCCTGCTTCTGTTAGACTGTTCTCAAAGCCAAATTTACAGAAAGAAAAGATTCACTTTTGATAGGAGATGGCTCTCTAAGCCAGGATTTAAAGATGCAGTGGAAAAAGGTTGGAGAAAGCACCAAACTGGCACTCCTATGTTCATTATTCAGCAAAGAATCAAAGAGACAAGAGTGGAGCTTCTGAAATGGAGCAGTAGATTCAGAACAGAGAATTCTAAGTTGATATCTAAGCTGCATAGTGAGCTCACAGAGTTGAGGAAGGAAGGCCAACTGATTGACTGGAAAAAATGGGATGAGATAAAGAAGATGTTGAATGAAGCCTACAGCCAAGAGGAACAACATTGGGAGCAGAAAGCTAGAGTAACCTGGCTGAAACATGGTGACAAAAACTCAAAATATTTGCATGCCCAAACAGTTCAGAGGAGGAAGAGGAACAACATAGTAAAGTTAACATCAGAAGAAGGAAATCACTGTGATAGCAAAGAGCAGATTGAGAAATGCATTGAGAATTTCTACAGAATTTTGTTTTCATCAGAAGGGTCACATGAGGGTGAAAGGGTGTTACAAGACTTTCAGGCAGTCATTTCTGAAGATTTGAACTTTGAGCTGGTAGCACCTATAGGAGAGGATGAAATCAAAGATGCTTTATTCAATATTAATCCTAACAAAGCTCCAGGCATAGATGGTATGACTTCTCTCTTTTTTCATAACTGTTGGAACTTGATCAAAGATGAATTATGTGATGTGATCAAAAGCTTCTTTGTGTCTGGTAGACTGCTCAAGAGCATTAATCATTCTCTTATAACCCTCATTCCTAAAATTCAGAACCCTTCTCTGGTTTCCCATTTCAGACCTATAAGCTTGTGTAGTGTTATTTACAAAATCATTTCCAAATTGTTAGCCAAGAGATTAAAGCCCTGTTTACCCATTTGTATTAGTGAGAATCAGGCAGCCTTTGTGCCAAACAGACAAATACTGGACAATGTTATTATTGGCCAGGAAGTCATTCATTTCCTTAATAGGCATAGGTCGGGGAATAGGTACTATATGGCTCTTAAGTTGGATATGGAAAAAGCATTTGACAGAGTTGAATGGGATAGTGTGAGTCTGATTATGCTTAAACTTGGATTCAACTCTATATTTGTGAATTGGATTCTTGCTTGTATTTCTTCTGCTTCCTTTTCTTTTAATGTGAATGGAGAGGTTTCTGGGTTTGTCACTCCTACAAGAGGAATTAGACAAGGGGACCCTCTGTCACCCTATGTCTTTATCCTTGTTTCAGAAATTTTCTCTTATCTTATTAAGCAAGAAAGTAAGAAAGGTAATCTTCAGGAGATTAAGATTTCTAAAGATGGGCCTTCTCTCTCTCATTTATTTTTTGCGGATGACACACTGCTGTTTGCTAAAGCAGATCCCTCTCAGGCTCAAACTATTCTTTCCATTTTGAGAACTTACAAGCAGATAACTGGGCAAAAAGTGAACCTCAACAAATCTTCAGTTTTTTTCAGTAAAAACACCCCAAACAATGTCCAATCCTCCATCTGTAACATTCTGATGGGCATTACTCCTCAGCACTCTTCGAGATACCTGGGATTACCTCTTGGTATTGGCAGCAACAAAGTGGATACCTTCTCTTTTATTTCTCAAGCCATTGAAAAGAAAATGTTGAACTGGAAGAACAGATTCCTGTCATCAGCAGGAAGGGAAATTCTTTTGAAAGCTGTTCTTAATGCTTTACCTGTTTACACAATGTCATGTTTTTTAATCCCCAAGAAAGTATGTGCAAACATTGCTAGATTGTTTGCTTCCTTTTGGTGGAATTCAGGGAACAATGATGGGAAGAAGCTGCACTGGAAAGCATGGACACTTTTGGCATTACCAAAGGACAAAGGGGGGATTAGATTTCATGATGTACATCTAATGAACAAGGCTCTTATTACTAAGCAGCTATGGAGGATCCTCAAATACCCTAATCTGTTGATGAGCAAATGTATCAGAGCTAAATATTTTCCTCAGAACAACTTCTTCTCAGTAAAGCACAAGCAAACAGGCTCATGGCTCTGGCATAGCTGGCTTAAAGTCAGAGATTCATTTTCTCTGAGTCTCAGATATGAAGCAAGAAGTGGAAGCAGTATTGACATCTTTGAACATCCATGGATCCCAGACCTTCCAGGGTTCAAACCTGCAAGACATCCAAACTTTCCTCATGATGTTATTAAAGTGCAGGACCTCTTAGATGAAAATGGCAGGAACTGGAACATGGAGCTACTTCAGAATTTTTTCACTGAAGATGAAAGATTAGCCATCTTGAAAATCAAAAATCTCAACCCTTATGAGGAGGACAGACTAATCTGGCAATGTGGAAAAAATGGAAAGCACTCAGTGGCTTCATCATATGATTATCTGGTGTGTGAAAAATAGAAGCTTCTTGACATGGCAGAACCTAGCAATGGTCAGGAGGAGAGGAAGCAAACTAGGAGAAGATTATGGAAGATGCAAATTAAAGGGAAAATCAAGCACTTCCTTTGGAGATGCTTGAACAACACTCTT